GGAGGTGTGGGGGGGGGGGGAGGGGAGGGAGAGGGAGAAGGGATTGACATGTGAAGCAAGGTTGTTCCTAATTTGAACTAATAAAAAAAAAAAAAGAAAACAAAAAAGAAAAGCTTGTGTTCAGCAAGTGTGTGCTGGGTGCTGGAGCGATACTGCTGTCTAGCTAGCTGTTGTCTCCTCATCAGGGATCCATGGGGGCTGTTTCTGCTTAAGCGCCTGTTGCTTCAGGAGCCTCCTTTCCTCTCTTGACCCTGTCTGCAGCCTCTCATCTGCTGGAGGTGTCAGCTGTGTGGAAGAAAGTGAGAAGATTCCCCGTGCTCAGATTGGAAATGCCCTCAGAAATGACCATGACCATGGAGGTTGTCATTGTCAATGAGGAGGTTTTGGTTGGAGCATGAAGAATTTCTCATAGGCTCCTGTGGTGGAAAATAGGATTCCAGCTGGTGGAGCTGTTAGGAAGGTTGTGGAACTTAGGATGTGGAGCCTCACTTACTGTGAGAGATCTGCTCTGCTTTCTGGCTGCTTCCTGTCTGTGACACAATTCTACCAGCTAGCCACCTCATACTCCTCCCATAGTGCCTTCCCTGCCTTGAGGGACTATAGTACCTTGAACTGTAAACCCAACCAGCCCTCCCTTAAGTTGCTTCTTGTGAGGTGGTCACACCAAGGTTAAAGGGTTACTCTAGCACATCTCTGCACCAGCATGATCCTGGCTGTTTCCATGTGGTGGAATCCATGCCTGTGCTGTAAATCCTCTGAGGCTATACCTTGGGGCAGTTGGAAGCTACATGGATGGGGCTGCTTGGCATGGCTAGAGTCTCAGTAATTGATTGACTCAGTTTGTGCCGATAAAGGAAGAGGTAGTACCTGTAGCTTTCAGTCTTGCATTCAGGTATGAGGACCTGCTGTGCTATCAGATGCTGAAAGATCTGTTCTGCCTCACGCCTACTCTCTTACAAATGTTCTTAGAGCCTCTACATGACTGTGGAGACTGAAGCTGGCTCTCAGAAAGTAGGACCAGCCAGCACAAATCTTTTTGTGACTTGTCTGTCTTCCTTCAAAGCCTGGGCTTCCTCATGGATGTATCCCTTCTCAAACAAATTATTTTGAACTCTGTATAGCCAAAGGATGCTGTATACTTATACAGATGACCTAAATACTTGTAAAAATAGGAAGTCGACATGCCAGACCACAGAATGTGAGCCTGTGAAGTTCCTGGGTGAGGGCAGAATGGTCATTAGAAAATGTCTTCCTCTGACCAATAAATAGTCCTTACTCAGAGGGGAATGTGTGGTTTTGTTTTCTTTTCCATCTCTTTTGTGTTTAAATGACTAATACTATTCAATACCCAGCCTGTGACCTTCAGAAATATTTTGTGATAGCACCCATGGAAGGGGCATGGCAGGAGAGGACCCGCAGTTTGGCCAACCTTGGTGGCTGGTGGAGGGAGGTGTTTATCCCTAAGTGTAGCCACAGGGTAGGAAGACTAGCAATGGCATATGCTGCCCCATTCCAGTTGCTTAAGTATGTGCTTTGAGATTAGTTTTTAAGCCTTATTAATTAGGTGCTCACAGGGGACCTTGTAAATGCTTAATTACCTGTGTGCTCATTGTATAATGATGTCCAAAGGCATGTCTTCATTCCCATTCATGTTTTGCTCACATTTCTCTGTGACTGTATTGCAGATGAAACTCTCTCCTGAAATGGAGGATTTCTTCTGTGATTGGTGTCTGTTGTTTTTCTCAGAAGGCATAAAGAAAACTCAGGAACTACAGAGTGTTCTTCACAGAAGGGTTGGGAAGAAAGGGCTGCATGCAGCAGGTGTAGAAGGCAGAAGAAGAGGTTGGAGCAAGATGGGCAAAGACCTGATAGGAATAGTGGCAGCAGGGGCAGAGAAGGAGGGTCTGGGGGAAGAATGGGAAGACAGTGAGGAGAGATGAAGACTGAGAAGTCAGCATCTAGAACCAGGCAGACAGAGGCAGGTGGTGACAGTGACAGAGACCAAGCTATGACCAGAGAGAACGCAACCTTTTCCTTAGGGTACGACTCATCCCTCTGGCTGGTGCTGATCTGTGTATTTATTTGCTCCATAAGGCTTTAACGTTCTGTGTCCGATCTGTGGTTCCATATGTGCCACTTCCAGAGAAATGTGGCTCTGAAAGGAAGATTGGAATCTGGGGTGAGTGTAGGAAGCACCCCAGAAGTGTAGCCAGAGCATCTGGGGCAGAACTCCAGCTCTGTCTTGTGATGCTGTGCTTGCTGTGGGATACAGCAATACAGTGGGGCAGAGCTGCTCACCACACCTCAGCTGGGAAGCAGAAAGGGAGGTGAAGGATTCAGCACCAGAATGACATGGAAAGCCCATTCCTGCTACACAAGGTGGATAATCTCTATCTGTCCCAGTGTCCTATGCTTAAAATGGGAATATAGATAGTGTTTCTCCCATAACTTAAACGCAGGCACACATTCAGACTGTTCAGTGTATATAACAGGAATTAACTCACCAAAGGATTCAGGTATTGGTACCCTGGCTCTCTCCACTCTTCATGCTTCCTGGCTACCAAGAAGTAGTTACAGGTGTGCTTCACCACATATTCCCTGCTATGCTGTTCTGCCTCTCCACAGGCCCAGAGATGATCTCAAGTGGCCATGGACTGATCTCTGACCCACCAGCCAAAAGAAATGTTTTCTCCTCTTAGGCTGTCTGCATTCCTATGCTTATTCCTCATGACCAGCAATGCTGCCTGCATTTACCTGGGCATTTTTCATGTTACTACTTTTCTTCTTTGCCTGGCCCCCATGAACTGTGATTGACTCATAGCATATAAAATCTTCAAATGATATCTTCAGCTGCCTTCAATCTCAGAACTCAGAGTCGTTTAGAACAGGCCCACTTTTAAAGTCAAGCAGTAAAGGCTTTAGGCAAGAATGGATCCTGAGCATAGCCCCCTTCTCTCTTCCTTAGACTGATCTAGGCCCTAGTGTAGTGGTTCTCAACTTTCCTAATGCTGGTACCCTCTAATACAATCCCTTATGTTGTAGTAACCCCCTACCATAAAATTATTTTTGTTGCTAGCTAGTAACTGTAATTTTTCTACTATTATGAATTGTAATGTAAATATCTGATATATAGGATATCTGATATATGACCCCTGTGACAGGGTGGTTTGACCTCAAAGGGATCAAGACCCACACGTTGAGAACAACTACTCTATCTAGTGCATTCTAGCCAAGCGCTGTATCTCTGGACTGTATCACCCGGAGCTCCTGAAGTCCTGATATGTAGCTTCTAAAATTCTATTCTAGGATTCCTAGATTAGCACATATGTGTCATTTACTAAACAAGGATTTAGTAGCAAGGAGGTTCCTTGGGAAATGAAGGAAGGCAATTCTGTTACTGCTAGCAGGGCCTTGGCCTCCTCTTTCTCTCCTTCAGAAGCTCATGAGGCCCATGGGGATGTCTAGTGCAGGGAGCCAAGTTAGACAATGGGCACGTACCCTGCTCAAAGCTAGGCACCAGCTTCTTTGGATTCAAGAGGGGTCTTCTGCATGGCAAGAGAGGCTCATAGGCCCACAGGACTCCATGGTGTCCAGATGTCATTGGTTGATTATCAGGAAGGAAGTTCAATCATGTCCTCTCTGTAAGGAAGCAAAGTTGGGGAAGGTCTCTTAGAAACTAGCCTAATTTTTCTGCCTGTGTGTTACATGAGTGTTATCAGCCTGTGCCCTGATGGTGGAAACCAGAGGGCAAACATGGGTGCTACTTGTCTTTGGTGACATGTGAATGAGAAGATATTGGCCTTCACTAAGTTTGCTGTCAATGCCCTGATTTAGGATACTATGCAACATGACCACATTCCAGTGTCCTGATCTCATCTGTGGGCCCAATGCTCGACACAGATTCTTCATGGGTTACTTGTCCAAATAAGCCTTGATTCAGGCATTCCTAAACTGAAAGTGGTTCTAGAGGACCAAGAAGCCATCCCTGGTCACTTATTGTTCTGTAGTAAGAGCCAAGCCACATTATAACACTGAATCATGCCACCTTTTACGGTGGTAACAGGGAAAGTTTTAGGGTATCAGTGCCATTGAACCCAGGCAGGTGAGACCGAAGCCCCTCTGGCCCATTTGCAGTACTGACGCCATCATCTGCCTTTGTGTTTCAGGTGCTCACATCATGCCGCGCCTTCCTCCTGTCAGCACGCATCCCCACCAAGGTAAGTGGTGTTACGTTCTTCTTCTGAGACAGACGGACTGACAGACACACTCAGTACATATCCACATGCACACTCTTGCTTGTATCCAGAGACACTCAAAAGAAGGGGCGCCCAACCTGTGACTATTTGATCTGACATCATCTGCAGATGTGTTGAGTTGCCTTCACAGCTGTTCTGCGATGCATGCTATCTGCAGGTTGGGCAAGCCTGCTCTAATAAACATGCATTCACAGATCCCTTATACAGACACAGTATTTAGGCCGATGTGTCTAGAGTTATCTTAGCACACATGTTTTGTTTCATTCCTCTCCTAGAGCGCCCCTAGAAATTGTCCTGAAGGATGCTTTTCATTTCCTTTCAATTCTGTGTAAAGCCATCCCAAGAAAAATGGTGAAGCATTTTGTGTTCCGTGTCCCCAGGCTCTCTGTCCCAGTCATTTTTCTCCTCAGCTGCACTGTGTCAAGTCCCTTACTTATTTGCTTCAGTCCAGCAGTAGCAGCTTTTTTTTTTTTTTTTCTATAGGGTTTTGACATGTGGGAAATAATCTTCCGATTCTAAAGGGTATACTGCATGGTTGTGAGCGCTGTAGCCCTCTCCAATCTTCCTGTAAAAAGAATTCTTCAAACTCTCCTTGTCCCTGTAGTCCCCTCTCTCCTTGCCACCCCTCCCTCTCCTACCCTCTTCTCTTCTTTCCTCCCTCACCTCTTTCCTGCTTTTTCCCTGTGTCCCCTCGCCTTCTGCCCTTTCCTTTTCTGCCTGCCCCTCTTCTTTTCTTTCCTCCCACTAACCTGCTCTCCTCTCTTCCCTCCTTCCTCCCTCCATCTTTCCTTTTCAACACTCGCCTTCCCTTTCTCTACCTTCCCTTCTCTCCTTTCTTTCCCTCACCCCTCCCTTCACTCCCCCTTTTCTTCCCTCTTCCCTCCCCCCTTCCCTTTCCTCAGGTTCTTACTCTGGTCCCATACTCCCTAAGTACCTCAGGCTGACCTTGAACTCACAGCAATCCTCTTTCTCAGCTTCCCAGGTTTGAGCTACATACTAAGCTGCACGCTTACAAGCCTCTCTGAAGAAAGATACTTGAGGTTCTAGCCCTTTGACATGTAAAGTGATACATGTTTACTGTGTTTTAAACTGATCAGTTACTATGGCAATGAGGCTGGACTAAACTCTCTCTAAAATAACTAAGGCCGAGCAGGTGTGGTATTGCATGCCAGTAATTTTGGGTTCCAGGCCAGCCTGGGCTACTTAGCCTTAAAACAGGAAAGGGGCAAGGGTGGAGGGGCGGGGTGGTGGCTGGAAGTGCATTCAGGAAAGCAGTGTGTAACCAAGCTAATGCAGAGGGAGTTATCTGGGGCTTGAGAAAAATAGCTTGCCCTAATGAAGAGAAGGCTCTGAAGCAGAGTATGGTGGTTCTTGCACGTGATTCTAGCACTAGGGTGGTAGAGGCAGCAGGTCCAGGAGTTGAAGGTCATCCTCAACTATATAAAGAATTAATTCCAGGTTAACCTGGGCTACATAGTGGGTTCAAGGCCACTATGGGCAAAATGAGAGATACCATCTAGAAAAGAAAAAGAGATGGCTCCTGGGTACTGCTTGGGTAAACATGTGAGATATTCCAAATGCATAGACATGCATACAATGGAGTCATATGTCTCAGATCGCCCATGAAGAAATGACTAGGCAGGATAACACACACCTGTAATTTCAATGTTGAAGACAGGAAGATTGCTGTGAATTCAAGGCACTCCTGGGCTCTACAGTGAGTACCAGCCATCTTAAAAGATAATGGGGGAGGAAGGTGGAAGGGTGAGTATAGGGGCAAGGGGGTTTAATGTGGTTTTGGCGGTTGAACCCAGTGCCTCATGAATGTTAGGCAAGATTTCTACCAACTGAGTTACACCCCCAGCCCTACCTTGAGCATGTCTAATAATAACCCAAAGCTCTGACTCAGCCCGGGTTCAGCCTGTCATCCTTTACTGAATGTTGGTCCCTTTCCACCTCTTGTTGGCTCATTGGACTTGAAGTTATTCTTTAAGGGCTACCTGCGTCTCTCCATGCTTCCCTGGTTCTGTTAACCCAGTGAAAACCCTCGTTGGGCATAATGTAAGCATCTTAATTGTGGTCCAGCATCACAAGACAAATTGACAAAAGTGGCAGTGTTCCACCTGGTGACTCACACCAGTGCAATGCATGGCTGTGCACCCACCCTGCATCTGTTGGATGCAATGACCGCTGAGGGCCCATGGGGTGCCCTTTGTATAGAAGTTATGTCAGGTGCTTTAAATGAGAGGTCTTCTCCATAGCAACTAGAGAGGACTATGAAAGGAGGGAGTGCCTATGAAGCAGTGGGGGCCAATGGAAGTGAATTATTGAGAAAACTGACACCTTGCAGTTCACACAGAGGTGGAGTCAGAGGCATAATCTGACCATGCCTGTGCTCATCTACAAAGCAGGAGACTTCAAATGCTCTTTTTGTAAGTTTTTGAGATAGGGTCTCATATATTCCATTCTGCCTCTACTTCCCAAATGCTGGGATGACACCATGCCTGGTCGATGTGGAGCTGGGAATCAGACTCAGTGCTTTGTGTATACTAGGCAAGCACTCTACCAACTGAGCCACATCCTCAACCCCAAGAGTTCTCTTTTTCAAAAGGAATTTAAGTTGGAAGCTGGATGCTTTCCCATGCCAGTAGCCTATTAGGCTTGACTCAAATAAAAGCTTTGGCACTGTAAAAAAAAAAATGGACTGCCAAAACTTTTATATATTTTTAAGTAATACTGGTAGCCAAGTGTGCCATTTCAGGAAACAATTATCTGCTGTACTTTAAAGAATTTAACTCAACTCAGATGTAGATGTTGGTAGTATTGGGTAAAAAATTGTCGCAGTCATTGAATGTTTCAAAATGTGGCCTCTAACGGTGCATGTAACCCATGGAGGAGAACACTCTCATTCCTCTTTGAGTTTCCAGTGTGGCACATAGTAGGCTGTTCTGAAGTATCAAATAAGTGAATATGAAAGAATGAACTCATTTATTCACTCTCAAATACCACCCCCTCCAACAAAGTCTTGCTATGTAGCCCAGTTGGCCCTGAACTCATGGTGATCCTCCTGCCTCAGCCTCCTGAGTTCTGGAATTACAGATATCAGCCACCACCCCAAGTTCTATGAGTCTAGCTCCAGACATCACTGTGCCTCTGCTGTTCAACTTTGGGATCTTCTGCTTTAGTATTTTGTCCTATTGTGTACCTTGGCACAATATGCCAGCAGGGGGCAGAGTTCAGACCATGTGGGTTGATTCTATACTTGTTTCTTAAGCATGACAGCTGGCCTTCTATATCTATGGCTTTCATATCTGTGGATTCCATTTATATGGATTCAAAATACGTGAAAGCAGTGCTTCCCTTCAGACATTTTCTCTTCATTCTTCCCGGGCAGCATGACACTGCACTGCATTGTATTAGGCGTTATAGGAGCTGAGAAGATGACTTTAAATATTTAGGAGTATGTGTGCACATGCACAGTGTGAGTGTAAGAGATGTGAACATCTGCAGATTGTGGTGTCTTTGGGCATCCCCTGAATCTCCCAGGGCTACCAAAGGATGCACATGTGTTTCTAGATTTAATGTGAGATGAGCCCAGTCATGTCCCTCTATCTTTTAACTGTTTGGTGTAAGTAAGATGAAAGACTGCACAACTAAGACAAAAGCTAGTGATCAAAGATAGATCTGGGAACGTACTTCACAGTCAGGAGAATGTTTAGGGTAGAAAGAGGTGATGATCACAGGAGATGAAGGGAAACTTCTTAATTAATTCAAAAGAGGTAGCTGAGTGGTAGGGTATTAGTCTGGTTTGTGCATGCTGGTTTGGTGCCTGGCATCATAAAATAAAAAAAATGAATAAACAAAATGTAAAAGAAATAATAAATGAATACTTGGAGGAAGGGCATGTATATGCCATTGAACATAGTTTAAAATTCATAAATATATTCAAATATTTAAAACAGGAATTTGATAGATTTGGGGGAAGAAGGTGACTTTAGTGAGTGACTGGAGGATGACACAAAGAGGAAGATAAAGGTTTAGAAGAAAGGTCCAGGACATGGAGACTGAGGCTTTCCAAAGGAACATTGTGGAGAAAAGGGAGAAATACGTATTTGGTGGCTTAGTATCCTGTAGGCATTTGTCAGTGTGTACACAGTGGAGTAGAGTGCAGGCCTTTCATCTGGTTTGAGCCTGGATGAAATGTAAAAGTCAGGTGTGCTACTTCCCCCGCTCTGTTTGTGAGATGGGTAATGCCTCTTTTGAGATATGATGAATCCCAGCTCTGTTACTGTGGACAGAGGTATCCTGTAGCCTGTCTTCAGAAGGTGCACAAGCCTTACTTAGCCTTGGGGTAGCTCTGATGATGGCATGTTTGGACCTCAAATGATATGTTTTTAAGCCCTCATTATAGGTCTCTTCTTCCCCTTTCCCCCTCATTACAGCTCGAGTTAACCTTCAGCTATCTGGAGATTCATGGAGTCATCTGCCACAAGCCAGCTCAAGTAAGTATGAGCTCCACCAACCTGCCACTGTGAGGTCACACAAATGAAGATTCTTGAGACAGAACAGAAAAGCAAGAGAACAGTAGAATTTTCAGGAGGAGCAACTGCAGAAGCTGTGTGTGGGAGGAGTCTGGAGCTCATTCTGATAAGAAAACTGGTAACTGAGAGAACCAAGCAACTCCTCAGCCAGCTGCTGTTTGGCATGATGTATGGCAGATATTAACGTCAAAGCTTCATAACTTTTATAAAGTGCTGTGTGAAATACCTCCCATCCCAGACAAGGCTGGCCTCAAGTTCTCAGCAATCCTCCTGTCTCAGCCTCCTAAGTATGGGGATGACAGGTATGAACTATGTGCCTGGCTTTATGAAAGTCTTTCTTGGAAGGAAGTAATAAGTGATTTCTTTTTGGTGCTTCAAAGCTGATTAAAAATAGTTTCATTTTAGCTATAAGTTGTTGCAGTGAAGTGTAAAATCCAATAACTTTTGGCATATGTATATCCATGAAACTGTTAGTACAACCAGGATACTGGCTATATTCATCACCTCCCCATCTGCAATCTCTTACAGGCACCTGCTTTCTGTCGCCATAGAGTGGGTCACATTTTATAACATTTCATACAGATGGAATCACATAATTTATAGTCTTGCCTTCTTCACTCAGTTAACTATTTTGAGGTGGATTTATGGCATGTCTCAGAGGCTCTTTCCTTCATGTTGCTGGGTGGTGTGCTGCCTCATAGATATGTCAATTTGTCTGCCCTTGCAATTGTTGCTGGAGAGTGAGTTGTTTGCAGTTTTGACTGTATCAGGTACAACTGCTTCTTTGGACATGGATGTGGGGGTCCCTGTAAGTGTCATTGCCAGGATGGAAATGATCTGGGTGAGGTAAGAATGGAACTCAGTTCAGCCTTGGTGCTGGGCCAAACTTCAGGAGTCTGACACCAGGTCGTTTATTTTAGCTATATTTAAGCACAGCACAATTTTGGAAAAGTTTTCTGGTGACAATTAATTTAGTCCCATGTGTACAACAAAGCTTAAGAGATGTTTACACTGAAGCTGTTTAAAGATGGGTTCTGTTGACTCAGAAACAATGATCAAGATAAGGGACCATGGTGAATGACTGAGGTAAACATGCCTATGGGAGTCAGGATTGGACGGGCCCTATGGTAGCATGGAAGTAGGGTGTTGTAAAGTACAAGTGATAATCTCTCTTAAAGATGGCTTTATTGACTAGGAACAATGCTCAAGACTTGGGGTAGGGGGGAGATCTGAGATAAACAAACATAATATTCTGGGGGATACAGGTTTAGGTAGCCTGGCCCTACAGATAGCAAAGGATCACCAGGCTGTAAACTACATCCTTTCCCAGCATTCTTGCTGGAAGACAGGCAAACATCTTCCTTTGAAGAGATAAGCCTGTGTTTTCAACTTTCCTGGCTTTTCCAGTGTTATTTCTGTGCACAAGGACTGCTTACCATACATACTGCTTACATATATCCTTTCATTTGTCACAGGTCTTAGTAGAGTGGCAGGCTCCTGTTGTAGGTGTGTTTGTTTAGCATTGAGTACTGTGAACCCGCCCTCTCAGAAGGTGGCACTGTTGTGGGTTGCCATCAATAGTGTGCTAGAGATATAGTACTTTTATATCTCCCTGAGCATAAGTAAGGTCCATTTAATTTATTTTTAATTTTAGCCCTTTTAACAAGTATGTAGGGTGCTTTTTTCTTTCTTCTGAATTTAAAAACAATATTCTGGATACAAATAATTGACTTTGGCATTTGGTTTTACCTTCTCCTCACCTTGCTATCCTCAACTGGTAGAGTCAGCATTTCTAATAGATTTTGTTATTTCTGTAGAGATGCTGTCGTCATTTGTGTGAATATGGATAGTTTTTCTCTTTTTTCTGCCTCTCTTCCATGGGGAGGGTATTCCTGAGTTTTATATGCTCCCATACATCTTGCTGATGTATTAAGAGTTCAGTATACTGACTTCTTTTTACCTAGGATGCTTCCCAGAGTTATTCTGAAGTCATCTATCTTGTAGAAAGAGGTAATGTGTCTATGAAAGAGCAGGCTTGCTTATCATTTCCCATGAAAACAGGAGACTGCACAGACACAATGGTTCCTCGTGTGTGTGTGTGTGTGTGTGTGTGTGTGTGTGTGTGTGTGTGTGTGTGTTGTGTGTGTGTGTGTGTGTGTGTCTGTGTGTGTGTGTGTGTGTGTGTGTGTCTGTGTGTCTGTGTGTCTGTGTGTCTGTGTGTCTGTGTAGGCATCCATATGAATTTCTCCATGTAACTCTGGGGGGATATTGAGCTCTGGGAAGTTTATTATGGTGCCCATACACCTTTGTTATGACAAGGAGCTTCCTGGCTCCAGCCAGTATCTGTGGAAGGAACAGTAACAGGACAACTTATTGGCTCCTAGATGGAGTAGAATCAAGTCTCAGACCCCAGTAGGACTCATTGTCTCTTCAGGACAATGCTGAAGAGAAGTGGCCAGATCAGATGTTCCTGTCTCATGCCTAGTCTCCAAGGGAAATTCATTCTTTCACCATCAAGTGTGACATTGCTATAGATTTGTTCTGTAAAATTTGATTTTTACTTAGTTAGGGGCATTTCCTTTCTATTCCTAGTTGAGTTTTTATCAGGACCAGTGTTAACTTTTGTTCAGTGTTTTTCTTTATTTCCCGAGATTGGTGTGTTTATTATGATTCCCTCCTTTGCCTTCCATGAAGAATTATATTTATTTATGAATATTTAGTCTTTTATTCCCAGGACAATCCCCATGAATCAAAACATGTTACTTGTTGTTTTTCGAGACAGGGTTTTCCTGTTCCTGGATGTCCTGGAACTTGATTTGTAGACCAGGCTGGGTTCTAACTCATTGAAATTCACCTGCCTCTGCCTCCCAAGTGCTGGGATTAAAGCATGAGCTACCACCACCCAGCTAACATGTTATCTTTTTATATATTGTGGATTATATTGAAAATATAATGAATTTTGATTTTACATTCTGTTTATATTGTTATATCACCTCATAGGTACACCACCTTTCATTTATATCGTCTTCTATATCTATGTATTTTTTATCTTATTAAATTTAAAATTCTTAAAATATTATCTACTGTCATTTCACATGTTTCAATATATATATATATATATATATATATATCCATATGTTAAACTTTGGAAAGGAGTTTTTGCACTGCTGTTTAAGATGCTAGTTTGTTGTTTTCCTATTCTCTTTTCTTCTCCAAGACGTTAGCATAGTCATGGAGTAACCAGACGAACTAGGAAGGAGTCTCTGTTCTTCATCTCCTTTATAAGAGCAGTGCTAGCATTAATTCCTTAGACATTTGGAAGTTGGCTATGCTTTGAGGTCATGTCACTATCCTTCTGGCTCATGGTGTTCTCTTGTGATATCTGTAGAAATCATTGCTGATATTGATCATTTGGTGAGCTTTTTCTCTTTGTGTTAATTTTGTTAGACATTTATTTTATTGATCATCTCAAAAACAACAAGTCCTTTCTCTGATCTTTATTTTTATAACTGATTACCTCTTAAAAGCATATGTAACTGATTGCTTACTTCTTAAAAGCATATGTGTGTTTAGGTTGTTGGTAATGCTCTTAAAAAGAAACTGTCAAAACTGTCATTTACAACAGCTGAGATTACATACAAATCCTTGGAAATTTTCCATGGTTCAGCTTAGAGCAATATTTTATCATTCTCCAGAAACTAGGTTTTGAACAAAAAAATCACAACAGCATAAGTTTGCCCAAATGGCCAAACATATGTAGGAGTGAGTCATCACTCATGAGTGATGGATGGTGATATACCCCTAGGCTGGTCTCTATTGAGGAATGTCTGTTTATGATTCAGATGGGAGAAGAGGGCATTAGTGAATGTTAATGCCAAATTCATATTGAAAGTGTGACTTGACTGTGGTAGTTAAGTATGACAAAGATGTTGGTGAAGGTAGGTGAAGCTCCTCCTGTGGCTTCAGGAGCTGACTATCCCATAACCTGTATAGTCTTGTCACCTCTTTGAGCCAACTGCTTAGAAGAAATGGCAGTTGTCTGCTTCAGCCACAGAGCATTCCAGTTGCAGGTAGTTGCTGTGTGAAGCTCTTAGAGTTACAGGGAGTCTCTGACATGATGCTCTTAGAGTTCCTGTGAGTACGACCCAGTGATGTGGGCTTGGGAGATGAAAGGAGAGTGCAACAATAGCCAGGGTTCTGTGGTCTGACAGTTTAGAATGCAATCCCAGTTCCATAGTGGTGCTCAAGTCCTGCTGTGTTTCACAGTGGCCTCTAGCTTGTGTACGAAGTACAGATCCCCACTTGGCAGCTCAGTCTTTCCCTGTCACATCCCCTCTCCCCCTTTGCATATATGCCCACATACATGACATTTAAGGACATTTAGGACAATTTGGATTAAATAACTGAGTAGTTTGCTTGTTTTAAATCAACTATACAATTGGTTACCTGTGTTCTGAAGACTGAGACTCGGTAACTCATGTAACCCAGGGGAGGCTCAGTAACTCACATCCCTCCAGTCTCTAGTTCATGTGAAGTCATGAGGACAATGAGATCTGCCAGTTACAATCTACCCCCCCCTTTTTGGAGTAAAGATTTTATTTTATTTTTATTTTTGAGAGAGAATATGAATGTGCACATGCAGACAGATGCCTGTTAGAGGAAAGAAGAGGGCATCAGGTCCCCTCAGGCTGGAGTTGCTGGTGGTGCTTGAAGTGGGTGCTGGAAACTGAACCTGGCTCCTGTGGAAGAGCAGCACATGCTCTTAACCTATTGGTTCTCAACTTTCCTGATGCTGTGACCCTTTAATACATTTCCCTTTGTGGTGGTGACTCCCAACCATAGAATTGTTTTCACTGCTACTTTATGACTGTAAATTTGCTACTGTTATGAATGTAAATATGTTTTCCGATGACCTTTTTTTCTGAAAGGGTTGTTGGACTCCCAAAGGGGCCATGACCTAAAGATTGAAAACCACTATCTTAACTATTCTTAACTACCTCTCCATTCCCTACAATCTAACCTTAATAATGGATTCTTGCTAACATTCTGGGCTTATGAAACTTCTGTCATTGCTATTTTTAACCATTTAAGTGTGGTTTATCAGCTCAGGTAAAATGCTTGGAACAGAATGCAGTGCCCTGTATATGAATGAATAAGTAAATATGTTACAGAATTAGTGAAGTTTGCCTTCATTATTGCGCTTTTCCTTTCCTTTGTGGAAATCTGGGATGTTGAAATCTTATTTGCAAGTCTTGATGATAGCACCACACCTTTGGTGGTCATGATCTTACACCTTTATACTGTGGAATTTTTAGATTTTCATCTGTAGCTCAAGATCTGCTATTATTATTATTATTCAAACTAAATTGTTGCTCTGTCAGAGTACACAGGTAAGCCAACCTCTGCTTGTTTCTGTTAGAGGAAACAAAATCATCTTATGTTTATTGACTGATGTTTAGTAAAAAAAATGCTGCCTATACCTGGGCCCAGTGAATTAGGAGTGTAGTCTAAGCCACTAGATGCCAAGGTAGGAGGATGGCAAATTCAAGACCTTCCAGCACTACACAGTGAGTTCAAGTTGAGCTGAAGCACTTTAGTGAGATACTGTCTCAAAATGGAAAGGAGAAACACGGTAGAGGATATAGCTCAGTCCATAAGATGCTTGTATTGGTCTCCGTGATCAGGAGTAGACATAGTGAATGTAATCTCTAGTGATTTTTTTTACATTAGAAATATTTTTTTTATTTAGAGAATACTTTATTAGTTTTTGTAATCAAACCCACGTAGATAAGACCTTACATATTTAATACAATGTGTTACCCCTGAAATGGAAAAGAAATTAAGTTCAACATTTCTAGACCAATATGGCTGTTAATTTCTGTACTATGCCAACTCAACACAGTAAACTGGGACTCTCTAGTGATTTTAATTAATGGCCTGGCACACTAGGCAAGCACTTTTCCATGGTTACTATTTTAAAAGGGGGTAGAGGTTATGAGTTCTGCCCTGTGAGGTGTTTGAACATTCTGTTTCTGCTCAGCCTGCAGCAGAAGGAAGCCAGCATGTGACAGACAGCTCTTTTTGTTGAGGCTGTGATGTGTTGGGTGGCTCCACCTTGGTGGCTTTGTTGCAGACTTTACATTATGCAGAGGTGTTGACACCTCCAGCAGGGCTTTGTAAGCACCTTCATGTCAGGTTGGATTTGAAGGCTCATTTCTTCCCCCACCTGTTGCCCTTTCTCTTCTCTGTCATCCTATTCAGTCCTGCATAATTAGGGATGATTATGTGTGAAGATCAAGTGGAATTAGAATAGGATAATTATGAATCACTTGCACCCAGACTGTGAACTGAATAGCAGTGAGGAATGTGAAAGGACCTTCACCGAGGACTGGGGGCAGGTTGTCAAGCTTAGACACACAATGGCCTCCCACATGATCTGGCTTTAGAAGTGATTATCCACATGTGGAGCGAAGAAGGAGTGTGGCAGCAGCATTGACTCAGCCTCCCCCTGGACACAGTGGAGTCTGGTAGGAAACCAACTACAAAGCTTCCATGTGTTGGGCTGCTGCCTTGTTCTGTGGTCCGTATGTCTCTTGGACCACTGTGTATGGGACTTAGCCTAGAAAATTTTGTAATTTCCACCTCCCCCTCCTATTCTCTTCCCTCTCTCCCATTCTTTGTTTCCTCATGGTCTTTTCTTGTATGTCTCAAGCTGACCTTGAACTTATAGTAATCTTTGTTTCAGCCTTCAGAGTGCTGAGTTTACAGGTATGCACTACCATGCTTGGGTCAATTTTTTTTAAATCGTGTTAATTTTATATTTTTATGGCTGTGTGTGTATGTGTGTGTGTGTGTGTGTGCGCGCGCGCGCTCGAGTGCGTCTATGTGTGCACACATGTGTGCATGCACGCCACCATGCACATGTGGAAGTCAGATGACAACCTTTGGGAGTTGGTTTCTGCTTTCCACCATGTGAGTCATGGAGAACAAACTCAGGTTGTTAGGCATGACAGCTGACACCTTTAAGTACTGAGCAATCTCACTGTCCTTCTTTTCCTTCCTTCCTTCCTTCCTTCCTTCCTTCCTTCCTTCCTTCCTTCCTTCCTTCCTTCCTCCTTCCTTTTCCCCCCACTGACACTATTTCCCCGTTTCTTTCTTGATGGTGTCCTATTATTGTGGCTCATTTGACCTGAAACTTAGTGTATAGCCCAGGCTGGCTTCAAACTCATGGTGATCCTCCTGCTTCAGCCTCTCTTGTGCTGGGGTTATCGGGTGTTAGCCACCAGGTTAGCTTCCATTGTCAGTTTTTTGAAGAACTTGTTGAGAGTTAAAATTGAAGACTCTTCTCCCTATTGCTAGGTGGCACCGAGTGCTCTCTCTCTAAAGTTTCATAACTGCTAGGATCAGTTGCTGGGTCTCACCATTTCAACACTTTCCATTCCTTTTCTCCTTAATAAGAATACATTGATTCAGAAATTTTTTATTTTCAAATTGCCTAATTTTCTGGAAATCCAGAATGAACTGTGAGCATTGCTTTGTTACTCTCCCTGACTAACTGAACATGGAATTTGGATTCCATTTTTATACACATTTAAGTGACAACAGGGAGCAAATGCTGAGGATGTTTAGATACTGCGATGGTCCCAAAGGACATCATTGTTCATGGCTACTTAGAGCAGTGGTCCTCAACCTTCCTAATGCTGTGACCCTTTAATATAGTTCTTTGTGTGTGGTGACCCCTACCACCTGCCATAAAATTAGTTCCTTGCTACTTCATAACTGTAATTTTGCTACTGTTATGAATTGTAATGTAAATATCTGATATTTGAAGTTTATATCAATATGATATTGACCCCTTGGAGGTTGCAACTCACAGGTTGGAGCCACTGACTTTGAGGGTTAAGACAATGTCATCTTTTAGAAAAGTGACCTGTGACTGTTTCTTGTGAAATACTCCTAACATCAGCAAGTTGCCTGTTTCCAGGTGGATTTTAACTCATTTTCAGGATAAGGTGAGGAATACATCTCAGCTTTATCTGGGGTCTCCAGCCCACTCTGTCATTAAGCCTAGCAGATTTTGTTATCCTACTGTTTCAGTGTTTTCTCTTTCAGGTCTCTCTCTGCTTAAAAGGTTGGCCTTTTAATAATAACTTGCATTTCCCTTTCCTCCTAGTAAAAAAAGATTATTAACTTGTGTTTAGGTATTTTACAAGATTTCTTGTCTTAAAAATGCACTTTCAAAAGAAAGAAAAAGAAGCGACAAATGGATGAAGTTATACACAAAAGCAGAGCTACCACAAGCATAGGCAGATGTTTCTCACGACAGGATCAGACTGGGATGTGTGGGATGTGGCCATCACCAGGGAGGTCTATTCCAATCAGTTTGGATGCTGATCACATCCATAATCAAAAGCAGAGGATAAACAAATGGATCCTTGTTTGCTTATACTCAGCTCTGTTTCTCTATTCTTACATTGTTTGGGAATTCCTGCCTGGGGAATAGGACTACTCATAGTAGGCTGCCTTCTTTCACATCCGTTAACAATCAGGACAGTCCTCTACAGACATCCTCAAAGCCCAGCCTGATCCACACAAATCCTTATTAAGGCTCTCTTCCCCAGGGATTTGAGGCTGTGCCAAATTGATAATTAAAAATATCTAGGCTGATTTTATTGCCTGGCTGTTGGAATATCCCAGCAATAAACATAAATGTGCAAGTGTGTGGTATGTTGGTCTAGCATCTTTTAGGTGATATAGCTGTGTCAGATGGTGGTTATGGTTTTAGTTTCTGAGAACCCTCTATAGTGACTTACATTGCTGTTGTACCAGTTTGTATTTACACCTGTCATAATGCTTCTTACATACATCACTTTATAACCTTTTTTTGGTGTGTGGAGGCTGAGATAGGGTTTTTCAGTGGCTATGGAGCCAGTCCTGAAGCTTGCTCTATAGACCAGGCTGGCTTCAAACTCTCAGAGATCCACCTGCCTCTGCCTCCCAAGTGTTGGTATTAAAGGCGTGCGCCACCACTGCCTGGCCACTTTATAACCTTATTAAAGAGGGAAGAAATTGGGCTCCTTGTTAAGTGTGCTGCTTGTTCTTGCAGATGGCTGTGGAAACTGAGAAGTGTAGCATGTCCCTGAAGATGGCATCACCTGAGGACGTGAGTGATGTGCTGGCTCACATAGGCACCTGCTTGCGGAAGATATTTCCAGGCCTCTCCCCACTGTAAGTCCTGTGGAAGAGCAAAGACTTTGTTCTTTATCAGACTGACAAATGTGAAAATATTTTACTCTTATCTTTGTTCCTATACCTCTTCTTTTCTCAGACCACTTAGACCACCACCACCACCACCACCACCACCACCACCACCACCACCACCACCACCACCACCACCACCACCACCACCACCACCACCACCACCACCACCACCACCACCACCACCACCACCACCACCACCACCACCACCACCACCACCACCACCACCACCACCACCACCACCACCACCACCACCACCACCACCACCACCACCACCACCACCACCACCACCACCACCACCACCACCACCACCACCACCACCATCAGCACCCCATCTACCAAAACCATGTCCTCCTCTATTCCCTCTGCCTCTGCTACCACCACCTCCACTTCTACCACCTCCTTCACCACTACCACCCCTACCCCCACCCCAAGTACCACAACAGCCTCCTCCATCACTTCTTCCTCTATTACTACCCCTACCCACCCACTCTCATCCGCCACTACCACCTCTATCCCCCGTCCCCTCCTTTTCCTCCTCCTTTACGACCTCATCTTCCTTTTCCTACAATCTTTCTTCCTTTTGTTCCTTTTTTCCTCCAACTCTCCTTTTCTGGGTCAGGGAGAACAGGAATCAGGGTGGGGGACAGTTTTACTACATAGCCCAAGGCTAGTCCAGGACTTTGAGCTATCCTTTTATATTAGCCTGCAGGTGATTATAAACTGGTCACCACGTCTGGTTTAGGATAGTGGTTTAGCTAACAGTCTACATTGGGGGTGGGTGTTGGAATGAGGGGTAGATGGACTGAGGCTTATAATGTACACAGAGGCTTCTGCCAGGAAGCTCGAAGAGTAACACAGGAGGATGCATTCCACCTATTGTGGGAAATCCCTTCCCACTGAACATGCTGAGGGGTGCTCATGCCTATGCATGGTGATTTGTGGTGGGTCTTTCCTGGTGGTAAGGGGAATTCTGACGACTCTTGCCCGTTTTGGAACATGAAGGAAGGCAGGTCTGTCTTAGGGAAACATCTTTTTATCTTCACAGCAAAGGGCTAAAGAGGCATGGAGGTTAGGGACTATTTCATTTGCTTTATGCTGAGTGGACCTGCTTGCTAGGTTCTCTTTTATTCTCATTACAGACTTGCTAAGTGAGCACACTCAGGATAGCCGGTTGCTGAGATAACAGTGTGTGCCTGGCCACATGGTGGAATAGGGGAAGGGAAGCTGGAGTTGTTTCCTGCCCTCTGCCTGTAGTATGTCAAGCCTTGGGTGTTTTTAAGGAAAGCACTTGCTGATGCTCCAAGAGGCACACACCTGCAGGGTAGGCTGGGAGGTGAGGGGTGAGTCACAGCAGTGGTAGGGAAACACTCAGGAGGGAAACTTCCCCTAGAGTGGTTTCCGGTCACCCTTAAAGATAGTTGATTTTCTTATCTTCTGCCCAGGTTCTTACCATGCCCTGTCCAAGGACAAAGTGAGCAGGCAGTGAAGGGTGACCAAAGAGGACTTTATTGACAAAAGATTGACAGTTGAACGGAATAGGAAAACCAGTCACCATGCAAGAATGCCACCTCCATGCAACAGTGAGAGACTGGAATTCTTGCTTTGCAATAGGATGCAAACCAAGGACTTGAGGAAAGTGTTAGGAGGGTTAGAGCTCCCACAGGTTGGTGGTGGAGTGGGGCTGGAGCAGCAGGTCTCAGAGGGCCTGAAACAGTAGGTACCCAGCAGAAGCAAATTCCTGCCTGCAGCCACAAGCTGAATCGTGGAAGCTGAGTCAGGAATCAGCCACTGCTTCTAGCCAAGATAGAGGTTGAGGTAGGAACCAGTCACCCTGCCTGAAGCTGCAGGTCTGGGAGGCTGGAGCAGTGGTAGCCCAAGGGGCAGGGAGTCTGTCTCAGCAGGTCTTGAAGGCAGGAAGTCTTCTTTCCTTCAGGGAGCTGTGTCAGTGGTTCTCAACCCGTGGGACATATCAGATGTCCTTCATGTCAGGTATTTACGATTCATAACAGTAGCAAAATTACAGTTACCAAGTAGCAAGGAAATAATTTTATGGTTGGGGGTCACCACAACATGAGGAACTGTATTAAAGGGTCAAAGCATTAGGAAGGTTGAGAACCACTAACCTATGTTTAACCCTGTTACATAATACCCAGGTATGTGCATATATTCCAGCCCTCCTCAAATCAAGAGGGAGAGAGAGAGAGAGAGAGAGAGAGAGAGAGAGAGAGAGGAGAGAATGAGAATGTATGTGTATGCAAAGTAGGCATAGAATGGGGGCCATTTAGGGAAGAGCTATCAATCCTGGAGGAAGACACAGACCTAAACCTGTCAAAAGAGTTCCCAACCAGGTGTGGCTCCTTTCTTCCACAGAACTGGTGGGGTAGCAAGTATAAAGAAAAGGCGCCACAGGATTGTCATGCCTGGAAGTTTGAAATAATGTCTAGTGGCTATGGCAGTGTTGCTGTCATGATTGTACAAGGGACTGCTGCCATGATCTCTACCTAGTGGTGTCTTTCTGTCATGGTTGGGTCCAATAGACTAACACTGGGACTGTCCTATCACCAGTGTTGGAGGCTGTCAAATCCAGCTCTGTTTGTGCCTGGTATTTGTTGGTGTGGTTTCTGCTCTTCCTGCTGGCTGCCACTTAAGTAGCACCGGGGACTCTGCTACTCCATCAACATCAGAGGACTGACCATGTGGGGTAAACATGAGTTCCCAATAGCTGAAACTTTCCTTTAATGCATTAGCAGTGAAGGGACAGAGGGCTAGCTCTTCCCTGTCACCCTCAGCAGTGAGGAGTCCTCTTAATCCTTTAGAGTCCTTAACTCAGGCAAGCTCAGGATTGGGTCCTTAAAGAATTTCAGGACTAGTCTGAGGCAAAGTTGGGCTTTTAATAAAAATTGAAAGAAAAGTCATTTAAAAAAGACCAAGTGTTCCAGGAAGTCTCCAAAGCCACACAGAGAAACCCCACCCTTGCCTCCACCCAAGACCATAAGTACATCCACCCAAGAGAGGGGGTGTGACCTTCACAGGAAGGAACGGAAGTTTATCGAAAAGCATTTAAAAATTAAAACAATATGTTTCAGTAGTGGTACTGGGGTTTGAACTCAGGCCTCCTAGGTGTTAGCCAACCACTCTGCTTGCTACCTACTTGTCTACCTACCAGCCTGATTTAAAATTTTCAGATCTATATTTATTTACTTTTTTGTTTGTTTTGTTTCTTTGAGACAGGGTTTCTCTGTGTAACTTTGACTCCTATCCTGGAATTCCCTCTGTAGAGCAGGCTGGCCTCAGAGCTCACAGAGATCCACCTGCCTCTTTCTCCTGAGTGCTGGGATCAAAGGCGTGTACCACCAATGCCCGGCTCATTTACTTATTTATTTGTGTGTGTGTGTAATCATGTGTGTGCCACAGCATGTTTATAGAGATCAGAGGACAACTTGTGGCAGGTAGTCACTTCTTTTGCTACTATCAGGGATATTACCAAATTAATTTTGGTTTTGGCTCTATCTTTATTTTTTTTTTCCTTCCAGAGAACACTTAACACTTAATACGGAATAATGTTTTCAGTGTAACTTCGTATAATGCCCATTTGTAGCTAGGTAGCTTTGATAAAACATTGGCATTCCCTGGTTTGTGCCCTGCATTCTCCCCTCTAGTCTGTCTGGTGAGCATCTCCAGAGGGCTGGTCTCAAGCTGCATAAACTCATTCTGTCCCAGAAGAACTGTTTTTCTTACCCTATAAAAGCCACCTAAATTGCTCAAGGATTGGCTTTGTTGTTCATGGTCTCATAAGTAGGACGCCATGAGTTAGTTGCCAGATTCTTGATGTCATCTCAGTGACTCTTGGCTGGGTCCTTTGTTTTTCTTTTTGTTGCCTTTGCTTCACTCAGTTCGGACTGTGTTACTTTTCTCTACTGAAGCATCTCTGTAACTAGTCTCTTGACCTCTTCTTTTCTGTGCAACCAGCCCTCCATACTGAGCAGTTATCTTTGTATAATTCAAGCACTATCTGCGTCTTGATGACTAGCTTCCTGATAAAACTGAAATTGTATCTCCCGGCCCAGAAGAGAATTGCTTTCCTACCACATGATCAGCCTATTTCAGAAGACAGCAGATGCTGGAGCTTCTATCCTTTTTTATGAAGGTTCCTTCCCGGCCTGGCTCTGTTATGTTTGACTGTGAAACTCCCTCCACAGGCTCACATGCACTGTCCCGATGACTCAGTAGTGAGAGTGTGGATAAGTTCTTTTTTTTTTTTTTTTTTTTTTTTTGAGACAGGGTTTCTCTTTGTAGCTTTGGAGCCTATCCTGGCCTCACTCTGGAGACCAGGCTGGCCTCGAACTCACAGAGATCCGCCTGCCTCTGCCTCCCGAGTGCTGGGATTAAAGGCGTGTGCCACCAACGCCCAGCCGAGAGTGTGGATAAGTTCTTAGGGAAGTTTTCCTTTGGAGCACTGCTAAGTGGGGAGTGGCTTGAGGACTCTGTCAGATTCTAGAGAATGTTTGTCAGTATTGAGAATGGGTGATATTAAATCACAGTGAGGAAATGAGTGAGGGCAATAAGAGAGAAAGGGAGTGTGTGATTTTGCAGCATATGATCAGGTATCTGAGAGAGCTGTAATAAACACATGGATGGTCCTGAGAAGGCAAGAGGCTAGATTACAGGCCATTGCTGCCTGCACCTGTCTCTTTGGTAGCCAACATGTGTTTTACTCTTCTTCAATCCCTGGTCCCTGACACATAGGAGGCATTCCACCTGACACCCACCAGAAACACTGTAGGTCAGGCTGGCCTCAAGCTTGGGGCAGTCACAGTATTCTGCAGGTTGAGGTAGGGTTTCAAGATTCAAGATCAGACTGCACAGCCCATACTTGTCCCAAAAAACAAACAACAGACAAAAAGCCCACTTAAATATCTGTTTGACTGTATACAGATGAAACTATAGTTGTCAAATCTGAATTAATA